TGGTTTTCATTTTTGAAGATAGGGTTTTACTGTGTAGCTCTAGTGTAAGTCCTGCCCCTGTTCGGTGCTTTCTACCTTTATTTGACACACTCAGCTTTTCTTCTCCACACACTCAGCTGGTCTTCTCAGTCTCATCGGCTTCCTTCTGTTTTCCAAGACCATGGCTTTCTGTAGCTCTTTGAAATTAAGGAAGTGGGATCAGTCCTGCAATGTCCTAGATAGCAGTAATGACTCCCCAAATTGCATCTTCGCTCCAAACCACCCCCGCCGACAATACGATTCTACCAATGGGCACGTGAAGGAATGTACCTAATCAGTAAAGCAGCATGATAAACCGTGGCACGCCAGATATTTTTAAAGGCTTCACAGAGACATAATTCACATACTATACAACTTGTTCAGTGACTTAGTAGTTTTACTATCTTCACAGTTGTGTACCATGAACATATCTAATTTTAGAGCAGACTCATCACCCAGAAGAAAGTCTGGTATGCTTTGCACTCATCTCCTGTGTCTTCCCAAACACCACTGCTCTAGGTGACCGCTGTGAGCTGCCTCCAATTTGCTCATTCTGAACATCACATATAAATGTGATCAGGTGTTCAAGTACTCTCTAAATGGTTTCTTTCACAACATTTCTTAGTACAATGTTTTCAAAGTTTTCCTGTTTTAGCATGTATAAGTACTTCATTTTTTAAACTAACAAATAATATCCATTATAGAGATATACCATATTTTATTTATTCACTTATCAGCTGACAGACCTTGGGTTTGTTTCCACTTTTGGAACTGTTGGGAACACTCACATGCATTTGTGTTTAGAGGACTACTCACATTTGGGGCCTGATAACTGTTGCTGTAGGGCTTCCTATGTACTCTTCGGAGTTTACCAGTGTCTTTGGTCTCTTCCCATGAACTGCCAATAAAACTACAACTGTGGCTTGCTCACCCTACCATGTATGTATTTAGTAGGTGGTAATAAATACATAGGAGGCAGGGTGAACAAGCATATTTGTTTTTATAAACCAGTGGTTCTAAGAAATAGTTTGTCCCATACTGATCCATCAGTACTCCAAACTGAAGGCTTGCTAGACTTGGCTTCAGAGTTACAGAGACACCAGCATTCACTGACTAATCAAACATCATCCTGGTCTCTTCCACTTTTGTAGTCAATAATTACCTGCTGGACACCTGGATACTCACATGTATATGAATAATGGTGACTCATCACCTCAAACTACACATGAAAAGTAACTCAAGGTGAATCAAAAAGTAGAGAAGTCATAGACTATAAACCCTTGTTACCATGGATCAGATTGCTTCTGATTAAATGGAACATCATCAAAACTATAAATTTTTGTGCTTTGAAGAATACCACAAAAAGTAATGACTATAACCACATGTGCTGGCTTACTAGTTTGTTTCTCATGGCTTGCTAAGTTTGATTTCTTCAACAATCTAGGACCAACTACCTAGACATGGCACTGCCTAGAGGCCAATCTAATGGGGCATTTTCTCAGTTGAGGGTCCCTCTTCTCAAATGACCCTTGTGTCAAACTGACAAAGAACTTTTTTGCAGTGCTGGAGACTGAACCCAGGGCCTTGCACATATTAAACAAGAACTCTACCACTGGGCTAAGTCCCTTGTACCTTCACAATAAGAAAATACACAATAATATGCAGAGGTAAATGAATATAATGTCTACCCCTAATCCCAGATGATTTTTTTTAAAATGTGTGTTTAAATATTACTTACATCTATATATGTGAAAATTACCTACTCAGAGGAGTACTCAGAGCTGTAGTCCAGCCCACCAATATATGGAACTGTACCAATCACTCACTGGTCACATAAACATTCACTCATAAGCATGAAGTAGAAAAATATTCTCAAGACCTAGGCATGGTGGTACATATAAGAACTTTCGAAACTGTGTATGGGTATCCGTGGAAGCCAGAGGAGGGTATTAGGTCCCCTGGAGACAGACAGGCAGTTATGAACTGTCCAACATCAGTGCTGGGAACCAAACTTGAAACCTCTGGAAGAGTAACAAGCATTTTTACCAGATTAGCCATCTTTTCAGATCCCACCCCTCTCTTTTGGATCTCACCTATCGAAGGCAGGTCTGAAACTCACTACGTAGTAGAAGACAACCTTGAACTTCTGATTCTCTAGACTCTACCTCCTGAAGGCTGAGATTCCAGGATGCACACTTCATCCAGCCACTCTCAAGACCTTTAGAGGAATTACTTTCTTTGGTAACACTGCAGTAGCTTTTGTCTAATGCTTTATCTACAGACACCATAAAATATTTTATGAGTGTGTATCTTTCAGACAAACTTTGTTTTCAAACTCTTAGAGAACTGTTTTTCTTTTCAAAACAGTAACTCTCTGCCAACTATATTTTCCTCCAAAACAGACACTTTAGAATTGGCTATGATATATGCAGTGTAATTTTTGTTGATTTCACTACATACATAATTAATGTTTTGATAGCTCCATATGGACTGGTAATTTAAAATCTGTTCCAAGTTTTTTCAATGTTTTATTATGTTGGTTTTCTTGAAACTTGGTCTTGCTATGTAACTCTAGCTGGCCTTGAACCTATCCACCCTCTTCAGTCTCTCAAGTGAATTCTGTGATTACAGACCTGTACTACCATAATTGACTTTCCCCTCCCTCCCGCCCCCCAAGATGGTTTCTCTGTGTAGTCCTCGCTGCACTGGAACTAGCTCTGTAGACCAGGCTGGCCTCAAACTCAAGATTCGCCTGTCTGTGCCTCCAGAATGCTGGGATCAAAGGCATGTGCCACTACCCAGCTCGATACATATTATTTTATGTACACTGGAGTTTTGCCTTCATGTATGCCTGTACACCAAGTGAGTGCCTGGTGTCCAAGGAGGCCAGAAGAGGTCAGATCTCTTGAAATGTGTTAGATGGTTGTGTTCTGAGAACTAAACCCTGGTCCTCATGAAGATGCTAAGTCATCTTTCCACCCTGATTTTTTTTTAATCCTCTCTCACACAATACACCCTGACTGAAGTTACTCCTCCCTCCCACACCACCCATATACCCCAGATCCACTCTTCCTATTTCTCTTCAGAAAAGAGAAGACTTCCCAGGGGCATAAACTGAACATGGCATAACAAGTTTCAATAAGATCACACAGCTTTAATTCCAGCACTCAGGAGGCAGAGGCAAGTGGATCTCTGTGAGTTAGAGGCCAGTCTGGTCTACAGAGCTAGTTCCAGGACTGTCAGAACTACACAAAGAAACCTTATCTTGAAAAACCAAAACAACTACAAATTATAGTAAGAGTAGGAACAGACCCTCATTGGATGGGTGAGGCAACCCAGTAGGAGGGAAAGGATATGGAGGAGAGGCAAAAGAGTCAGAAATACCTCTACTCCCACTATTAAGAGTTCCACAAAAACAACAACCAGAACATATTTGCAAGTACCTAACACAAGCCCATGCAAGCTCAGTGATTGCCCCTTCAGTTGTTGTTGCTTGTTTGCTTTGTTTTAGTTAAAAAAACAAAACAAAACCAACAACAAAACAAAACAAAAACTAGGACAGGGACTTGTCTAATCTCGCTTTACAACAAGATCGTGCTACACTGATACTTAAACTGTAATAACAGACTTTTTTGAATAAAGTCTCCAAACCATCCTTTAAAAACAAATAAGAGACTGGAAAGATGGCTCAGTGGTTAAGAGCACTGACTGCTCTCCCAGAGGCCCCAGGTTCAATTCCCAGCACCCACATGGCAGCTCACTGTATAACTCCAGTTCCAGGAAATCTGACCCCTTCATACCAAATGCACATAAAATTAAATAAATATTTTAAAAAATTATAGATTAAATATAGAAAGTTGATTAATGGGTGAAAGATAAAGGAGAGGCATAAAAGGAGAATATGGTTAACTTGATAGCAAGCTTCATTCATTCCAGTGACTGCCCTTGGCAAAGAAGCCGGGAGAATTCCTGGTTTAACGAGTCAGTGGCTCACTTTATCTCATACCACCTGCCTCTCACAGTTAGTTTTCTAGTAGGTAAATATAGTAACTTGAAAATCAAAGCTTACCAGGCACCTTAAGTCTCCCAGTTCTACAAGTCTCAAACCTATGCACACGAATGCAGCAGGTCTTGACTCTGTTGGAACAAAGACGAGCCTCATCCTAAAGCTCTGATATCTCCATCTCTAATCTTAGAAACAAACTCTCTTAAAGCCCCAGGAAAGAGCTGATTAAAGACATCCAGAACAGGTTATATTTAATTTTCTACAGCAGGCACAAGTGTATTAGATCAAAAGGAGCATGACATGGGGAGTTAACTGTAGGACTATTTTACTCAAAGATGCCAAGAGCTGCATAACAGCAGCTAACTGAATGTGTTAACTACGCTGTTTCATTAAATTTAGTCAACAGCCAACATCTTCTCTTTCTGCTCGGAAAAATTAATATTAAATATTAATATTAAAAAGATTCAGTAATTTGCTGGAGATCAACTAAGGCTTGAACAATGCTACAAGCAGGCACTATAGTACCCTAAGGCACAAGGAGACACCCGGCAGCAGATGCTCTGGACCAAAAGCCTATCACTAACTTAATACATACACTTAAACAATTCATAACGACAAAACCAGACCCTTTCTAAGTAAAGAAAGCCAGTCACAAAATCTAATTTAATTTAATCACATGTCCAAGAAGAAAATGTCTCTACTGCTGAATAAATATGCATTTTGCACATTTTGGTTTTTCTTTCCTCAGTCAGCAATAGCCTTATTAGACACCAAATGTTTTCATATACTCAACCCTCTTCAAAAAAGTAATAAATACAACTTTACATGTTCTACATAGTCTACTGTACTATAGTATAATAAAATTCCATTTCTCCAAAAAGAAGAAAAAAGCTAAGAGTATAAAGGACTGAGGTTTATGATTAAGTCTTCTACAAAGTCACCACAAACACAGCCCTTCCCACTACGAAAAGGATATAGTTTGGAGGGAGAAAATTCCAGCTCAGGACTTGGTTGGCTAGTGCAAGGTACCGCTGAAACACTGAAGACATCTGAGCACTGAGGTTCTCCCGCCTGCTGAACTCCTGCAGAACTCCAACCGTTAACATGAAGATCTGGCGAAGGTCTTCTTCCTATGCTCAATAAATCACACAAAGTTTTGTATGACACTTAATCAAAATGCATTCCTTTTTAGAATCATAAAACAAACAAGAACCTTAAGGTTTCCATTAGATTGCTCTACTTCTTTAAGAATGTTTTCCATCTTGAGGCCTCTAACCAAAATTTACATCAGTGTGCTTCCAAGAGGTACCATTGACTGTAATATAAATGCTCCTCCATGCAGGAAAGCCTGTGAAGGTGAATGTAACTGTAGAGCTGGGAGAGTCAGTTGCTATAGCGCAGAGCCTTAGGACTCAAGCCAGTGCCTTCACATAACTTTACTCCAGAGCCAAACAATACACGCGAGAGACAAAGAGCCCTCACCATCTGCAATAACATTTTAAATACATGACCCTCTTTGGCATTGTGCCAGTTCTATTTTTAAGGCCGGCAGAATCCTATCAATTGAAATAGTTATAGCTAAATAAGATAAAATGATAAGCTGAGGATATTTATTATAATATTCTCTTTTTGCTGTTTAAAGATGAGACCTGAATAATAAACTCACCGATTACAGTAATCAAACCCTCCTATTTATTATATCCTATATTGAAATCTCAATACAAGTCTTCAGGCGTAAGCTATCATACATTCAAAACAAATTTTCTTGCCATTAGGAATAAACTGGGCAAAAAGTAGACCGTCTAATAATTAAAACATAAAACAAAAAACCAGTACCTGAAAGACTCGTTTGCAGTTACCATGGAATTCCATACTCAGTCCAATGTTGCTAGTTTTACTTGAACTTGAGAACTCACTCAACAGTGCAGTTAGAATAGAACAGGCCAGAGTTTGCTAAATTCAATAAGAAATAAATGTAAGGCATGACTTTTTTCAAAGGTTTATTTCAACAGATTTTGCTCCAATATATTATCTGTATGCTGTCTGTCTGAGCTTCAGAGCTTCTAACTGCCAAGCAGAGACCTGGGTGAGACTAAGAAGACTTGCTTTCTTTGCAAAGTAATGTGGTAAATGCTAACAGTGCACGTCAACTCAAGTCAGTACACACCAGGGTAGGACTGGAGCTCAGGACACGACTCACTCAATCCTAGAGTTCAACTGACATTTTACATAATTGTTAAATAATTAAATAATTGTTGAATGCCCTGTTTCGTCTAACTTACACAACAACCCGTACATTCCTTTTACACCTGAATGGACCATGATTTGAAGAGAGTAGGTGATTACCAGAGGCCACCAACATTCAGACTCGTGTATCCCACTCTATGTTCTGATGAATGAAAAAGCATTCTCAAACAGATGAAAAGTAACATTGACGTTAGTCTCCAAAATATCAAACAGTACCTCAAAACTTTTTAAATCAAAGAAAGAAACTTTTCTTTTTCACTGGATCCACCAGATAGAATACCTCTCATTAATCTTATTCACAGATTATTTAGAGCCAAGGTAATAAGGATGGAGATAAGGATATGGATTATTTTGGCGCATTTCCAGGGGTTAAACAGAAATGTGCACACTACCTCTGAAGACCCGAAAGATTAAAGTCAAGATGATACTATTTCTGCAAGCTTATACAACAGCTGAACATAGTGGGACCCACCCCACCAACTGCAACATCTTTGTTCAGAAATGCTTCTGATGTTAGTACCTTGACCTTACAGATGCTTTGCTTGACAAATCTTAGCAAAGAGATATAAAAAGTTAAAATTCCTAAAGACTGTAAGGCTGATATTTGCTTAAGGTAAGTGACAGTTACACAGAAAAAAAAAATACTACTTTTTAAAAAAATCACTTAAAATTTTCCTTTAATGTTTTTCAAATTTTTAAAGGAAGTAGTTACTGTTTATCTCTTAATATCAATGAAAATAAGCACAGGTATGTAGCTTCATGCAGGCTGGAGAGTTCAGAAGTTATCTATCAAAGGTGCTTTCTCAAATGATGAAAGTTCTCTGGATACTCTTAGCTCAGTCTTTGTGCACACATATACACTGGGTCTTTGTTGTTAATAATTGGCTGTACTGAGAGTTGAACCTGGGTCATTGTGGTCATATGGCAAGTGTGTTCCTCATCAGAAATGAACTTAGCCCTGCCCCCCCCACACTCAGCTTATTTCAAAATATACATTACTTTAATACAAAAGTTCTTTCAGCTCTAAATCTTCAAGAAAAAATATGTGCCTGTTTAAATACCAATGTGGACTAAGGAAGATGGTTTGAGAAATCAGGTACAAGCCCCTCATAATGAGAAAATTATCCCTGTCTTACTGCTCAAAGAGATTTCAGACAGTTATCAAGTAAAATAATCTTCACTTTAAAATGGCTTCCTTTTAAATGGTTAAAGTGCCAGGCGTCAGCTGAGCATAGAGGCATCATAGTCCATAGTTCTTCAAATCCTCAGTATTTGGAGGCTGTGGCAAAGGGTACAAATGTGATCATATGTATAAATACACATATTCACATTTGTGCGCACATGAGAGATTCGGTGGGGGAAATATACTAAATAAAACAATAGACAAAATTAAATTAAATTAATAAAACTTGTAGGAAAATATTAACTCACTAGACCTAATAACTTCTAAGACTATAATTCTAAAGACAATATTTAGTAGACTATATTTTTGTAACTTAGTCTTAGTATTACATCCATCCCTTCTAAATAAGACCTTATTGTCTATAATATTATCAAGAGTTAAAATATTTGAAAAATATCTTCATAAAACAAGAAAATTAACTTCGGAATCTTAGGTAAGCCATCAGTCACAGAACACAACTCACACGTAAACTTAACGTGAAAACACAGAAGCTTGTTAAATGCAAACTGCCATCATTCTTACTAAGAATGCTCTAAAATACCTTTCCACAAGAAATCTACAACTTAATGCAGGCTGGTTTCTGGTACTTTCACAAAGTGGTATAGTTTTAAACTATGATCATATTCAGATTATTAGTACAATGCCTAATTGATTATTAAAACACATATTCACAATAAAGATTTGCTTTCATAGGAAATAAATATTTCCTAAGCTCATATTCATAGTCAAATGAATGGAGGAAAAAACCAAAGCAAAGCTGATAAGAACCTTGCTGGGTGACTGAGGCTTCCCACAAGTACATTGCCTTTAGCTACACAGTATAGCTCAGCAGACGGGGAGCCAAGAGGCTGGCTGCATCAATAAACAGAGCCACCCCACAAGCAAGCTCACATTTAGGATGCAGACATTAACCCTTAAAGGCAAGTGAGCATATAGTCTCATTCTCCTATCCCACTCCCAGTATTCAGAGCAGATTACATTAACTAAGGAAAAATGAGAAAAGAACTCCTAAGAGTGGAAGGGGATCCTACAGAGGAACACTCCTTTAGCCCTTATTCTCAACACATGAACATCAAGAACAAAATGTATTCTCATCACAGGTTCGGCTTTCAAAATTATTTTTTCAGGCTATAAAAATGATACAGTATGATATCAATCTTAGAAAAACTAGAAGGTTAAAAAAGTTCAAAAAAGATAAAATTACCTACAATCTTTTTGTCTGAATTATTATTGAAAGTTATTTATAGCTCTTTTAATTTCTTAGTTTATACCCGTATTAGTTATAGAATAGCTAACAATCTATAAACTTTGTACTCCTTTTTCCATTTTAACTTTAAAACAAGAAATGGTTAAGTACAAACTTCTGTATTTCACTACATCTCTTAGAAACACAGGAAATCCATGAAGACAATTCTACAATACGGAGAAAGCAAAGCCACTGTGAGCCCTACCTAAAATCATCACTTTCCAAAGAACCGCAATTCAGCAATATTTTCAAATACTACAAACACCTAAGAATTCAATCTCTCATTAATTTGAAAATCTTGTATGGATACAAGATTAACATCATGAGCTCTAATTACACTACTACTCTAACTAAAGGCTGCCAAATGAATAAACTCATTCCTTGGAGAAAGTGAATCAAGAACTGATTATAAAGGAACAAAGCAAAGCACTCTGCTATATATCAACAATAGTTCTCCCTATTCACAAGACAACTAAGAATACCATAAATGTATAAGATTCTCCATTCCTATGTTTACTCACTTTCAGTACTTAACTGACAATTTAACACCCTTACAATGACACTTTATCCTCACTCATTATACCGTAATGCAAAGCAAAAAGCAGTGCCAATAGAGAATTTCCCAGGTCAGAAGTAAGAACTAACCCTGCTTCGGAGAGAGTCTCACTTACCACTGGAGAAGGTTCCTGTCTGCTTGCTGCAGGCATTCAGTGCTCAAGAGACACAGTGCCGTGCCTTTTACTCTCCCTCCAACGACCAGCACTGTCAAGTGTTATCCCTGCCCTGGCAGTCACAGCCAGATAGCATTCAATACTATAGACAATGACTCTGATACTTAAGAGGGTCAAAAACAAAAGCTGTCGTTGGAATTTCAGTGAAATCTGATGAAAACCGAGAAACAGGAGATTTTCATACCAAAGAGGGATCTGACTGAAACTAACAAGCACAATTCACAGTTTTAAGACGTTATCACAAGAATGTTTCACTCATCTAAGATCATAATCATATCTGTTACTTTCGAAATTCAATAAGTTTGTATCTGTTAGTTTCTAAATTCAACAAAAACATTTTAAAAACTTACACTTTGTACATTTTTCTAAAAGAAGTTCTTTTATATCAGTTATATGTCAATAAATAACTACTTGGGAAACCACTCAAGAAAAAGGCCTTAGGTCCTTTGACAAAAGGATGTCAGCTCTCCTTGCTTGACAATTATGTCTACTTCACAGGTTCCCTCAAGTGCCCTTTGTGATAGTCTACAGTTCACTGCTGCTGGCAACATAACAACCACCAGCAGACAGTTTACTGATCATTCTCATTTGTTAATTTAGAAAGCAAATCTATTGTGCTGGTGTCCGAGATACATTATAAATAAAAATACTCTGTAGGAATCCTTAGGGATCCAAGATGCCTACTGTGTAGACCAGAGAAACAGAAATATGTAAATGCAAACATTCTGTTTTTCATTTAACTGTAGGCAAGGCATTTCATTATCATGCTAATAAAGTCTCATCTCTAATCCAGTTATGGTGGGTTCAAATGCAATGATAAATTGTTAAGTGTTGGAGGCTGTGAACCCAGACCCTGTAATCAACTTGTCCAGCTGCTCTGAGCAAAACAACTTATTTTTCCTGTGTTTGTAGCTACTCTGAGCATGAGACCCTCAGGAGTTCCTGATGGCAGTGGTTCTGGTGGGTTTGCCTAGGGCGCGGCTATCAGTTAAGGATCCATATATAAGTGGCTCTGGTATACAATAAAGGGGCATTCTGGTTTTTTTTTTTTTAAGATTTATTTATCATGTATACAGTGCTCTGCCTACATCTATGCTTGCACACCAGAAGAAGGCACTAGATCTCATTGTAGATGGTTGTGAATACATGTGGTTGCTGGGAATTGAACTCAGGACCTCTGGAAGAACAGCCAGTGCTCTTAACCTCTGAGTCATCTCTCCAGCCCCTAAAGGGGCATTCTTGTTTCAAGGATGACCTGTGTCTCTGTGTGTTTAAATCTCCAGGCCCTTGCAAGACTCATGGATGGTCCTGTAGTGCAGCCACAGCACTTGTAGTACCATAGTATACACAGTAGTATGGATGGTACAGAAAGTACTGTGTAAATGCAGCAATTAGAATAAGGTAGAGTGAAGGTAGTATTTTTATAATTATCATTAAATTGGGCTGTTTTGGTCCTACCTCTTAACTACCATCTAGTACTGTCAAATTAGAATGCAAGATAAATTATCACTTAGGAATAAGGACTGTTAAATACTTCTTGAATCAA